TAGTAGTAGTAGTAGTAGTAGTAGTAGCTGTAATAGAAGGAGAAGGAAAAGGAGTTGTTGCAAGAGAACATATTAATAAAGCGTTTAAGATGTTTTGGTATAACTAAAAACTATAGAGGTAAAGAAAGCAAAGTCGTCATGACAACATACTTGGCGGAACGTCGTAGAAATAATATTTGTTCTCTTTGTAAATACTTTCTGTATGCCAGATGTCCTTCATTACTTCACCAAGAGGATCTACAAATATTCATAGTAAACATGAAACATTATATGTAATAGGTCTCCATGCTGTCCAATTAAATAATAATTGGACGAGGAAAAAATTTCGAGGACTGCAAAAGTTGGGCGAGGCCTTTAGCCAGAAAGGACGATTGATTGGCTGCTTTCAGTAGACGTCATTTTCGGTATGGCGAAGAAATCAAATCATGTTAGTTGACAAATATTCATTGACATATGACTTGTATTCTTGGTAGTATGTTTGCGGATTATTATTACTTGCTACATGTAATGTAATGACGTCACAGCCATGTTGGTTGAGCCATGTCATCCTCAACCAAAAAGGCAGCCGCACATATTATTTGGTGAGGAGAGATGATCGCTAATTAAGATTCCTTATGATTCATAATTATTTGGACTTACTCAGGAAAAAGATTCTTGGTATGTATGATCCATCGATGTCAAAACGTTTATCGGTGTGATCAAAATCATCCTGTTGAAAAAAGCTTAATGATAACACATTTCTATATACAAATACTATACAACAGTTAGGGCCCATGACGTCACAAGCATGTGCAACAGGCTATTATCTTATAATAGAGATAATCATGGACAGCTGTTTAGCTATTATAAACCATTCCGAAGTTGAGTAGAAGAATTGGTCGAGTTGAATTTGCAGTGCATTTTGGGACTGTTTTAGGGGACAAAATAGAGGCGATCTTGAAAATACAGTCAATGTCATTTACACATTTACTCATTTACACATTTAGACATTTAGACTAAAAGAAATATCACGTGTTTCCTCGAACGTTCTGACATAGAACAAACGCTGAAATACCATTCTCCATCTTAGATCCTCACTAAATGGTCGGGGCATTCTGGATTTTCGATTCACGAGTTGAATTTTACATTTAAAGTTTAGGCTGACGCACACGAGGCAAAGAACACATAATGAAACACGTGATATTTCTTTTAGTCTGAATGTGTAAATTTCTAAATGTGTAAATGTGTAAATGTATTTTTTCGGTGGACAACGTTAATGACATTGACTGTATGTACTTTAAACCTCAGAATGGCTTATTAGAAGCCATCAGCATATTTCAGCATGTCGGCTGTTTTTAATTTTATTTACATCAGACAATACTTACTTCGACGTTGACCATCACAAATTGTTTGCTGAGTTTCTTGATTTGTTCGGATGCGGCGAACTTTGGTCTAAAAGCTTCAAAACACAAATAATAAGTCAGTAATAACGATAGTATTTATCTTATCGGGGAATGGTGCTACGTCTCTTCAGCTTCCTACTTCAAAAGCACGTATAACCAAGGGTGGTGTGCGATGCGTGGGCACCGCCATTTTGTGAGTCAGTGGCGGAGTTCCATGGAACCCCCTTTGTAAGACCTTTTATAGCCGACTATGATCTTGATGCTCAGTAGAGCATTTATCCTAAGAAGATTTTCTACGTGTTCGTGTCAAGAAATTGCTTAAAAGTTCCTGGACTTGCTCTTACCCTGACATGCATTGCACCAGCTTTTGTGAATAATCAACATCATTGGCTTCCAGCTACGAGAAATGAAGAGTAAGTCAACATTAATATTATAATCAATATTCCTTTCTACAGTAAGAGGACGAAGGAAAAGCCTGCTACAAAGGCAAGCAACGTGCTAACTCGCCGAGTTTAAATGTCAGATAGATCTAATTCGTCCTCGTTACAGACCACGTGCCTAGAGAGTAAGAATCTTTTTTTTAAATCTTTGAAGAAAAGACTGGGTAGAGTTGGCATTGCACTGCATTTGGTCGTTTTAAGGTTATATAAAAGCCGTCTTGGAAATATGTCCTCTGCAATACCAACTCGACCCAGTCTTTTCTTCAACCTTGGAATGGCTAATTAGGACGCATCTTGAGATATACTCATCAGTTTTATTATACCGACCTTTTTCTTGCCTCTATGTATCCCTCGTCCAAAGAAACCCAGTCGATGCCATTTSCAAGTCCTGTATATGCAAATATTCAAAAAAGCAAGCATAAAATTTAAATTCACAAAGAAAAAAGAATTTTGGTGTGATTTGCAGTTGGTAGCCATGATGGAATGCTGCCCATTTTACCGAAGATTTATGATTAATTTGAAATTTTGTTTGAATTTCCATTTCTCTTATGAAGACTGCAAAGTGGACGCGTTAAATGACAAAAACTCTTGAAGAAGATTTTTCGGATTTTTTTTTACTTTTAGTTTAATATATTTTAGGACCATACCTCCAGAACCAGTGCTGAAGCGCAGTATGGCAGCGCGAAGCATTTACGGCTATGCCAGAGATTTCGCCCCCGACACCGCTATCCAGTGACTAATCAGGAAGCTCGGCCGAAGCCTAAGGGAGAGGTTAGTCGGCCCCTAGACCGTAGATGATTAACCACTTGCTATGATTAGTAAAACATGTGCTGTTTCATCAAGGACTAACCTCTTTTGTTTCCATTAGTCCATGTGGGATGAGTTTTGAAAACCTAACTGACCCTAAACAGAAGTTAGACATGCGCACAGCTACCCACTCTTTGCTTTATTGACCTTAATTGAGTGAAGTTAAGCTGTTTTTGCCAATTTTTTGCATTATGACGTCATTTGACTACCACTACCAAGATACTTCGCAAAATTTCTTTCTTATTCAAATTTGTAATTCTTCTTCAGAATATTAAGACAAATCCAGCTAATCTGAGGGGAAATGATTGCTAATCAGAGCCGAAGAAATTTGCAAAACTGGGGTGTCACATTTCCTCCTGAAATTAAGGATTCCAGGACGCTAAATGAAAACAAAAACGATGGTAATAAGAGGCTGATAACAGTAACACAATAAATGAGTTATATATTTTTATAAAGATGGTAGACAGGTTTTTATTTTTCGCTGGCCAATTTTCACAACCTTCATGGCACCTCAGTTTTGCAGTGACGTCATTTTCACGTCACTAATTCAGATTAGCTGGTTGGTGCTAATTAACTGAACAAAAGCAAGTGTGCAAGGGATTCTGGTGTGGGAGTCAAACGACGCCATTATGCAGCATTCCCAAATTTAAAGATAAGTGAGTTTGATAAATCTTACCATGGTCAACGGACGATTTTGATGCTGGTTCTGAAGTTGTTTTTGACTCCGTTTGAACTGTTTTGGTAGATGATTCTGATGAAGACGACACAGTAGTTTTCTCTGGTTCAATGTTATTTAGAACTTTCTTCATCGATTCAATAACTAGAGAACACGACATAAAATAATGACATTACGATGTTATCTTAGGAGCTATTTAGAGACTGGTTAACGTCTTATGAGTGGCAATTTGAATGACAACGGAATTTTATTCTCGGTTCCAGTTGCTTGGAGTAATATGGCCGTCAAACAACCGTTAGGTCTAAGATACAGCGCACGCATTGCAGCGTGCGGTATCTGAGGGGCTCAAGCTTACTCATATTATGTACAGCGGTAAATAATATGACAATGAAAGATAAGTGCTCCCTTCTGCCCCCTGTGGGTAAAGTGAACAATCTCGGCATAACTTCAACAATACACAACAAGGCTTTGAAATTCCACGGCCTTTACTGGAAGACAAATATTCTGCACAAACTCGAGGCTAACCCTGAGCAACAGAGAACTCGAAGACTGGAGTATTCACATATATTTGCTCCATAATTTCTCAAGGGAATAACATTCAGACTAAAATGGGCCGCAAAACAAATAATGAATAAAGCATACCCGTTTCTGCATCTCCATATGCATACTTAAACTTCAGGAACCTCAGCTCAGTGTTATGTATATCTTTTAAAACTTTTCCATTAGAATCTAGTAAATTAATGACAAAAGTTTCTATAAGCGTTTGGAAAAACAAATGTGAGATTGTAAGAATTGATAAAATTATACTAGCAATGGCGGATCCAGGAATTTTAGAAGGTGGGATAACTTGGTAAGGATATTAGGAAAAGTGAAGTGGCTACTAAAGATAATACTAAGACATCTGAACAAAATGGGTGGCTAGCCACTCTTCACCACTCCTGGATGCGCCCCTGATTGAGCAGTTTGTGTTGTGTCATATGAGTGATTACCTAAGAAGTACACACGCGGAAAGTATTTCCCATCTACGTCGAACATTGAGTCTTTTGGTTCTTCGTCATCCTATGGTAATAGCATTATGAAAAACATGTTAAGTACTCACAGGTTGTACTAGCACAAGTGTGACTAAGTATTTCGATGCACAACATGAATAGCTAGATAGATAGACATTGCAACAAACAAATAACACAAGAAAAACAACAAATACGACAAAATAAGCAAACATTAACGAAGTATTGCTGGTTTTCAATCATTCCCAAGAGAATGAAATAACAAAAGACACGGCGGCCATGTTGGATGGCATAACAAAGAAACAAATGACATTTTTTTTCTCGAATATATACAACCTGGCGGCTGTGAAAACCATCCATTCCTCCTTTTTTTACGCAACATAATGATTATGTTTTTAAGCACAATTTTTAAAATGTGATTTCTTTCAAATTTTATAGTTTTAACTCACCTCTATATTCACCATTACGAAATTTTTGCTCAGTTTCTGTATCTCGGTGGAATTTGCAATGTGTGGCTTGAGAGCTAAAAAATAAAGAAATACTTCTAATGATTTGACTCATAGATGGTGAAAATATTACCTCTCAGCCGAAAGATGCTTTGTATTTTAAAGTACATGCCGTTCTTATAATATGCTTATTCATATAATTTTTTCCAGTTAAAAATCAATAGTACGCGCGCTGATTTATTGGCTGTTTGACTTTATGGACCCGCTCTTTTCACAGCAAAAACTACATACCTTTGCATGCTCCGCACCATGGCTTGTGGATAATCACCATAACGGGTTTCTTGCTGACAAAATATATAAATAAAAACACGTATAAATATGTAACGTAGCTCATGGCACAAAATACCAATCTTTACGTAATGTTGTTTCTTTAACAAAATTAATGAACCAAGCACGTTTTTCATACGTTTTTCATGCGGATACTTGGATCCAGTCATTTGGTGTCCGTAATAGAGTGATGGTTCAAATGCAACTTTTTGAATAAAGGTTGGCGAAGGTTTTGTTGCGTGTTGATCGTTGCATGCTCCAAACAAACCCCGAACTGGACTGCAGGCGATCTGAATACAATCTAATCAGCCAAAGTTTGAAACAATATTCAGTTTCCCTAAATTGTGTTGACAGGTTTTTCTGGTATTTTTTCTTCTGTGCTGATAAAATCTACCTATGGTTACGATACATTTCAAGCTTGCCAATGCAAGAAGCAACTTGCAACATGCAACATGCAAAGTGCAACTTGCAAAAAACCTTCACCAAACTATCTTTAAAGTAGCTGTCCCATAGTTTAACATTAGTTCACTTAATCTTGAGCTCCGATCGATAAACTTATTATATAGGCTTTAAATGTTACCTTCTCTTTGCTTCAACCAGGCCGTCATCCATGGTGACCCAATCAATATTTTTTCCAAATCCTTTGTCAAAAAAAAAAAAAAATTAATAAAAATCAAAGGTTTTCTCCCAAATATGATAAATAATAAATGTCGATATGTGATATAATGTAATATATGCCGAAAATGTGAATGTACATCATCTTTTAGCGTCAGGTTTACTGTTAACCGCTAGTGATCAGGTCCAGAAACAGCAGTAAACACGGAGAAACACTAGGTTTAAATGAAATTTAATTTGGCGAATCTTCTAGCAACGACTTCGTTATGGCGCCTTGCTAAATTTCGAAAGTTTGACGGACAACGCATTTTAAGATTTGCGGTACCAAGCAACCACGTCGTGCTAAGGTTCTCGTATATATGGTTACGACGCGCCCTTTGAATGGCTAGACTGTAGTTTTCAAACAATGCTCATGATTTGTGTACCTCTGTCTGATTCATGCTTGGGCGACATCTTTTTCATAGCTTTGATAACTAGGAGAAGAGAACAGTTGAATTTTAGTTAATATTTTGGTAAATCATAAAGTAATTAAAGGCCAGTGAGTACCTTGGTGCATATCGCAACTCTGTCATGGATTGCAATCTCGCTCTTTCAAGATTGTTATTAAAATAAACGAGAAACGACTTCACAAAATTTAAACTCTTACCATAACACGTACTTTCAAAGAGGCGACGAAAAGACAAATACCTCTCTTACATCCTTTTTTTAAATCTCCTTTTGTAATCCTTGCCACCCTTGCAACACTTATTACGTTATATTAGAAAACTTCGATCCAAATTTGTTGTTGAATATACTTACTGTCATCAGCATCTTCATAAAAATACTCAGCATCATCGACAGGAGTGTTCTTGTTTTTGATGTGTTTCTGGACCTCTCCTTTGTGATCTAATTCGGCAACAAGGATAATGAGTAAGTTGCAAATAAACAGTGGAAGTATTAGAGAGGTTTTTACACAAAAGCTATTGTGCGCAATGCTTTACCATTTCAGATCACAAGTCATTCCCTTGAGCTTTATTTCTTTGTTTACCGGTAATAAATAAAAAAAGGATACGATTTCGACATGGTTTTATCATTTACCAGATAATATGCCAAATCTGTGCCAACACGATTAAGTTGATCATTTCACTTCCGATTAATATGACTTAAATGTTTTCCATAAAAAAACAAAATATATTTGTTTTGGGAATGGGATTCTGTTTGACTTGTATTCATATTCAAGTTTATTCTCATACACAACCGTTAAACGAAGAAATGATAGTCAAGGAAATGACCCGCCTATCTGGAAAAAACATTACTCCCAAGGATAAGAGGTCTGTTATTTCGATTGTTTTGAGTAGCAACAACTTGGAAAGGAACAGACTAGTAAATATCTCTAAGACAAAACTTACCAAGAAACAGAATTCTTGGGACATATGTACCGTCAATGTCATATTTATTTTTTGGGATCTCGTCATCCTGCAAAAAAGATTTGATTCATTATACATCATACATTATTTATTATTCATTATTCATTATACTCCTCTGTGGTGATCGCGATCCAGGTTCAATAAGAAAAATTGCAATCGCGCGTGCAGCACACTCAAGAAGCATGAGGGTTTTTTTATGCAATCATTATTTACCTAATTAGTTAGACTCTCGAGGTCTATTTATTTTGATGGTTAGCTAGTCTCTACACCTCTTGAATTAGAGGAAGGACGTTTACGTATTTGCATAGGTGTTAAACATCATAGACACTTAAAATGACAACGATACAAGAGGAGTCTTCCATGACTTGGTTAGAACAAGTTTTCATTCAGAAACATGAAAGGGAGCCTACCTGAAGATTGACCATAATAAAGTCCTTGCTTAATTCACCAATCTGCTTAGACTTAGCAACTTTGGCCTTGAGAGCTTAATCAAATGGTTAAAACAAAGTATGTCAGTAAAAGGTTTTAATAGACACAAATTGAAAAAAAATTTTGTCAAGGTCAAACGGTTAATGGATCGAAGCTAAGGTCGAGCGGTGTTCTGGGTAAACAGTTAATGCATGTTGCAGTTGTGCAGTTCTCAAAAATTGATTCAAGTTATCGAGCAAAGTAGTTTGTCAGTCTTCAAAAATATGTCTATGTAGGAAACACTCTCCAAATGCTCAGGATATCGACTACCCAGAATCCCCTTCAGCATTAACTTCGATGATTTAACCTTTTCGATGATTTAACCGGACAACCTTTATTTAATTGGTGTATACACTACAGCCTGAGATACATGTCTTTTAGCTAAAATTACTCAAGCAAATTATAGGAAAATTAATCAAAGTTAAGTAAAAGCGTTTGGCATTTCATTAAGAAGCGCTCAATAAACAAGTTAGGGATACACGATGGACTTTCACCAAAACCTGAAATGCATTTCGTGACGGCAAATTGTTCAATTTCAAGTGTAAGAGATAGGGTATCAATTGTGTTATTTATTTATTTATTTATTTTATACCTTGACTGTGTTGGCACCAAGAGTTGTGCAGAATGAGTATAATTGGTTTCGTCCTAAAGAAAACAAGAAAAAAGGTATTGATTGATACACACTAAACTGAAATTGTACTGAAATGCTACCGAGGAGATGAAAAAAGTTGAAAAAGACCGAGTGAATGAATACAATGGAACCTCTATAATACGGACCTCGAAGGGCAAGAAAAATTGTCAGTAATATAGAGGTGTCGATAATATAGAGGGCAGGTCTAAACAATAAAAGGGGAAAAAAAGAAAAGAAACAGAAAAAGAAAAGAAAAATTGATATACATAGTAGGAACTGAATGGTACTGAGAAGAGGTACAACGTTTAAGAATGGGATGTCCAAGTAAATGGATTACGGCTTTAAGTACATAACAAATTTTGACCAATTGTTGACTTTATATTGTGGTAAATGAGAGGACATACCACGCTTAACCATCAGACATTTGTGTTTTACTAGTACACAATTTCTTTAAAAGAAAAACGCTAGCGTTTCGCAATTTGTTGACGTAATTTATTGGTATGTACTCTCATTTACCACTGCTCTCGACCAATCAGAAGGCGACAAAATTGACATTTGTGGTAAAATAACATTTATGATTATTTATATTGACTATCATGTGACATAATAGCTAACAATAATAGAAGAATTTAAACCTACGTTTCTTTGGCTTTAGCTAGGGCATCTTTCATCGGCACCCATGTGATATGTGAGCCAAATCCTGTAAATAAAATAAAATTTTGTGCAACTTTAAAATTTGGTTAAAAGTTTTATTTAAAAAATATTTTAATAAAATATTTCTATTATTTTATTATAACAGAATTAATTACATCCATTTTAAAATCACTGATGATTTATGCAGTCTCATTGGCTCTCAGCAGTGCAATTCAATCACRAATTGCACCATTTTTAGTTTTAAATTCGTTTTTTTGAAGGGCCAATGAAATTACAGAAAAAAATTAACCAATCAAATACCAGAAAAGAAAAGTGAAAAAAAGTAGAAGAAAATTTAAGGAAATGTTTTAGGTGAAAGACGGTTTTTTTGAATAAATTTTAATGAAGTTTAATTTCAAAATGTGTTATTATTGCAGGAGATTTCAAAATGGATATAATTAAGTGGTAATTGAACTTTGTGTCGTATAATTTTGGTCTGAAATCAAAAGTATGATTAACGAATTGCATTCCCGCTAGCTATGCGGTCGTGCAATTTTGTAATCATTCGTCAGTTGATTTCAGACCAAATTGCGCTCTACTCAGTTCAATGACCCAAGGGCGGATCCATTTTTTTCTGCTGAAGGGGGGCTTCAGCCCCCCCTTTGCCCCCCCCCTGGATCCGCCCTTTTTACCATTATATAGATGATGGATAAAGTGTTTATAACTATTGTCAATGAGTATTTACCTCTATCGGTTGCGGCTGGCTTTTTCACCTCAATCTTGGATGCTTTTCTCATTGCCGCAACAACTAAAAATACCATAAGCAACATTGGTAAAGTGTTCTTTAGGAAGTTAGGTTAAGACGAATGTGAGTTACATACGTTGTTTGACCTCTCCATAAGCGTATTTATATTCATCGTAGGATGGATCTTCATTATAAATGTCTTTCAATACTTTCTTTGTATAAGGATCTGGAAAATATTAATAAAGAAAAGAGATGTAATATTAATCCATAATTGATGGACACATCCTTTTTTCCTGGCTACACTCATTCTTATATCAACAGGTCTGTTTAATACGAACACCTCTCTAATACGGTCACAAGTGGCATGTCGTTTTTGCTATCCTTATAAGAGAGGTTATATATATTTACTATAAATAATATTGTTAAAGTGCTAGTCTTACAAAAATATTAATGACGCAAAAAAATCCCCGATTTTGTATATGCTTAAATAGGTTATAATGTTCATCAATAAACAATAATTGGCTCGAAAAAGAGGCTTTCCCCGTCTGAATTCTTAAATTGTTAAAAGCTCGTCCGCCATTGCTATGAGCAGCGATTTTTAATTTATGTGACGTCATACGCGCAACTGGCATCCTTTTTATCCACACTGACTCTACAGTATTCTCTGTAAGAAGGCATGTCTCGTTCATCAGCTGAATTTCTCAGTTTTCAATAGCATTCTTTCTAATGGCTGACAGCACATGGTGGTCAATATTTGACTCACCATTTGAAACTGATAATTAGATTCAAAGACTTTAATCATCTGATATGGACACCTCTCTAATACGGGCATCAGCGCCATCTTGGTGACCGTATTAGGAAGGTTTGACTATAAATAGTAAATGTTAATAAACTGGATTGTGGTCTACCAATAAAACTCATTCTTGGCACACTAATAAACAGACCTCTATAATACAGACACGTCCATAATGTGGGCATAAGTGGCAAGTCTTTTTGGTGCCCTTATTAGAAAGGCGTGACCGTAATATCAAGAGTAATGAAAAAAATTGACTTACCAATGAAATGAATTCTTGGTACGTATGCACCATCAACGTCGAACTCTTTGTCTAATTTAGAATCATCGTCCTTTTGAGAACGATAAAAAGAGGTTAAAATGAAAACGATTAAAAGAGATAAATAAAAAAGCGAATGAAAAAATTAGGATTAAAAAATAGAAATATAGAAATAAAAATTAAAGGTCGCTAAATTCGCTTTTGATCTGAATAAAAATGTACAAAAGCAGGAGAAAAAATGATTTTAAAAAGTTCGGAGAGAATATAGATAAATATTTTTAAGCAAAGAAAATGAATAAACATAAATATTCCGTCACAAAGGAAAGGTAAACTAACTCACCTGGACGTTGACCATTACGAAATTTTCGCTGTGTTGGACAAGCAACTCTGACTTTGCAAACTTTTTTTTGAATGCTGTATCAAATGCGATGCAAATTAATAACATGATGTTAATTCTACTGAGAAATTGTTCTATTGCGTCATGATAGGCCATTTGCAGGAAGTAATCACATGACTGTTACTGGATGACATGGTTTATTGTTGGAATTCTTGATACTTATTCGAAAACAAAAACCGTTTTATTACCTTTGCAAGCAGAGCACCAAGATTTATGTAAGACTAACACGATGAGAGCCTCCCTAAAATAGACCCAAAGATATAGTATTGAAAAATTCAAACATTAGCATTGCAATACAGCCATTTCTATATAAACTTTTATGGAAGGAAAAGTAAAGGGGCAATGTAAGGTGGTATGATGGTAGTATGGTATAATGAAAGCTTAGCTTTTATTCTTAAGGTGAAGAGCTGAAATGATAGGGACTTTACCACTGATGTGTTCTATGACAATGTACACCTATTTCAGAAATCGTTGTCGCACCAAAAGCCTCAAGCAACAAGCTAAGACCGCAGAGAACGCCGGTACTTTCAGCTGTAATTAGTTTATTCATGGTGTATTTTCATTTATTCCCAAATTGCTCCAAGGCTGCTTGAGATGATAATTAGTGGATAGCTATAGCCACTTGCATGAACCATGAATAAATCAATTATAATTAAAAGTACCGACGTTCTCTGGAGCCTTGGCTTGTTACTTGAGGCTCTTGGTGCGACAACGATCTTCGAAATAGGTATATATTGCTAGTATTAATATAATATTCATTTTTAGTATGAACGCTCAAAATTTAGAGCGCCTGCGCATATAGCTAAATTATTTTATAAATATGAGACCAATGTACTTACTGGTCTGCTGCTACTTCAAAAGCATGATCAATGTGCACCCAGTCGTAGGCAGTGCCAAATCCTTAGATGTGAAAATAGTTTAGCAAATGAATACACATCGTGAAACTGCATCACTATAAACCTACTGAGACGGTCAAGCTCCCTCTTTAAGGGTAAAACGTAACAGCTTTGCAGCTAACTGAACATACAAATGATCCTAATTCCATCATCAAAGTAGAAAATCAAAGTCAGCGGTTCAATTTTGTTGCAAAAAAAAACAACAAAACAAAACAAAACAAAAACAAAAACAAAAAAACAAAAAAAACAACAGAAAATCTATAAAGACCAACTAAACAGGGAAAGCTAATAAGCAACTTGAATCATAAGCAATGTGGGTACCGAGGATAGATTCAACGACCACAGAAGTGATGTAACACACATCGTCCGTGCCTTTGACTTCTTAGCATTGCGCAAAACATGTAAAACATGGCTGACGAACAAATCAACACGACATGAGAAAAACGATTGAAGGATAATGATTCACGAAGAAAGATGCAAGATGAACGAATGGAAACTGATAAAAAGAAACATGATATTCAAAGAGCAGCTTACCATAGTCCTTTGCAGGTTTCCTGAACTTCTTCAAGACTCTTTCCATGGCGATCATCACTGAAAACAATAACTAACGCTCAACATTCTTGTCATTCTAACGTGAAAACTTTTTCCATGAGTCTCATTCTTTGTATGCAAGTAGTCGATGGACCCAAACATAGAAACTTATTCCCAAGGGTTTCGAAATAGAGATAGAAATAGGTTCCATTTGCAAGGACATTGACTCGTGCATATTCTTGTGCATGTTACGTCATATCTACCGTGTTGGTTGGCGATAACAAAGCATTCCTTATTAGTTTCTCTTTTTAGATCAAATGATATGGCGGCTGTTTCGTCGTTATTTATCTCTCAAGGGACTTGGAGTCATGCGGTTGAACCCCAAGAATTGTACTCACATTCATCTCCATCTTGGTAATAGTACTTTACGTGATTATAGTTTGTTTCTTCGTTCCAAATGTCCTTCATGACTTTGCCTTGTGGATCTAAGATACCGAAGGTATTCAATTAATGGTTTGCATTATAATTTTGTAGTTCATGAAAAACAGGAAAAGCGCCATTGAAAAGTAAAATTTAAAGACAACAGAGTATGACATTGGATGTTATTAGTAAACCAACAAACCGGAAACCAGTCAATCAATTGCAACCAATCAATTAACTAACTAACCATTCAGAAACCAGTCAACGAATCAACAATTCCCAAAACCCAACAATTCAACAATCAACACACCAACCATCCATTTAATAAACCAAAATAGCGTGCTCTTACCAAGGAAAAGAATTCTTGGTACGTAGGCCCCATCAGGACTGAACTCCTTGCCCTCAGGTTCAGTACCACCCTTCAAATTAACCATCACAAACTTCTTGCTCATCTCGCCCAAGTCTTTGTTACTTGCGAAACGAGACTTCAAGTCTGAAAAAAATATACACCAATAAATAAA